CTCTCTCTCTCTCTCTCTCTCTCTCTCTCTCTCTCTCTCTCTCTCTCACTCACACACAGCATGGCACAGAAAAAGTTTCTTCCACAGGCCTACAGCAGAGATGGCAACAGAAAGAGGGTGGGCTGACAACAGCCTTCCCTAACCAGGGGCCCTAAAGATCTGCTGGACAACAATGTTCATCATCCCCAGGCAATATGACCAACATAATTAATTAAAAAATAATTATGACTACATAATCCAATATACTTGGAGGTACCAGTCTGGGAAGGGCTGATCTATAGCATCCTCACCCTCTGCTTGACTTCAGGTGTTTCACACAAGGCATTTTTGGAACAGGGATCAGCAAATGAGGATGCAGACAAGGTCATCTACATCCAGAGGTCACCAGGACCTCCCCGCTCCCTGCAACCCTAAAAAAGCTGAATCAAAAGGTCTTAATTCCTTTCAGACTGAGTGAAATCTGAATAATATCCTGTATACTGCCAAAAGAATCTGCGTCAATAAGATTTGACATAAAGCTGCAATAGTCTTTATTATAGTTGAGGCCCCATCGGTGCGGGTGTTCAAGGATAGGCTGGACGTCCACATGCTGGGCATGTTGTAAGCGGAGCCAGCTGGTGCCGGAGGTCAGACTAGATGGCCTGGGAGACCCCTTCTGACTCGCTCGGTTTTCTATGTTTCTGTGTTTCTAGTCAGACATCACTGAATCTGCTGCAAGTGATCAGTAGCATCTCTTGCCAGAACTCTTCACTCTACAGTATTTTCACCAGAGATGTGGATAGTATACCGTTTTAATTATGGTAATTTTAATTATGTCTAAATCTTAATTCGTTAAGATTTGGATATGATGAAAATTAATTATAGAGTTTGACTTTATGATCAGAATTCCATTCTAGCCAAATATTTCCCATTCTTTTTTAAAAATGCCCTCACTTGGCATTCATTAATGACTGACTATCTGGCCTAGAATCCTGTTCCCAGTGGTGACCAGCTGGGAGCCTCTGAGAGTCCCACAAAACAGGGCATGAAGGGAGCAGCTGGGCCTCATCTTATCCCTGTCACCTCTTAGTGTCCCCACAGGGTCTGTCCAGGGATGAATACAGATCCCTTTCCTCTGTCTGCATGGTCTTTCCTGCCCCAATGCAGAGTCTTACAGACAAGAAACTTCATGGTGAACTTCACCATATAGATGTGGCCAAAACATAAAGCAATCACTCCTGTGGTTGCAACCATTAGACAAACATGCTGCTTTAGCAAACAGCACATGCATGAGAGCGAAGTGCTGCTGCTACGTGTATCTTTATAATCCGTTGCCCACGAGAGTGGCCAGATGTAGAAAGGCCTCACTATGTAGAAGAGGAAGCTTCAGATGAGCTCCACCTGCTGAAACCGGCTCTCCTGCGCAGCTCATGAAGGAGCCCTACCTTTTCTGCATGGGACCACTCTGGTTCACCTCTGTCAGTGGGAGCAAACTGTGGCTCTCCAGATAACTGCACCCAGGATATTCCCCTCAGCTCGTTACCTGGAGATGCTTGGTGGGCGTCGGGTGGACAAAAAGAGTAGCCACTATTCATATGGCTTGAACTTCTTGATTTCTGCAGCTGATCAATGGACCAGATGCATGGTTAGGACCTTCAGCAGGAATGCAACCACTCCATTGTTCTTAGGTCAGCTCACCCAGGCTAGTTAACAAAGGGCCATGCACTATACCGTTTTCTGTTATTCAGATGTCCAATTCTCCCTCATAAGCTGAGTTGCTTTTTTCTTTCCTTTCTAGCTGAATATAAAACAAGATCAGTGTGTGAAAATGAAGAATTGAAACTCCACTGTAAGGAATCAAAATTCCTTAACATCTATTCTGCCTCATATGGCAGGTCTGCTCAAGAGAAGAACATCTGTTCTACAGAAATTGGCCACCTCCCTCAGTTTGGTAGGTTGAACATATCCCTTAATGGCTTAATTCTCGGTGCTGCAAGATTTTCCTCAGAAAAATCCAAAGCTGATGTGTTATACATCCCAAAAATGTACCCATCTTAGGTTAGACCCACTCTTACTACCATCAGCATGGGAGTTCCTTGCTCTTAGCGGTTTCCCATCACCCCAGAAATGTGAGAATGGAGGAACTATGTAGGATGGTGTGAAATGACATTGGAAGAACCACGGCACTACTCACTCACAAAATCCAGCCTCCATACTGGGCTCTTCCCACATGATCTTATCACTTTGTTCTCTTTCCTCCATTCCTGTGTTATTAAAGGGCATGAGACCTGGACAGAGGAAAGCAGTTTGCAAGTAGTAGCTATGCATCAGTCATTGTGGCATGAGCTTGTTGCCTTTTCTATAGGCCATCCTTCCCTAAGCTGGTTCCTCCAGATGGGTTGGGCTACAATTCTTACCATCCCCAGCTAGCATGGTGAAGCCCTGCTCCAAATTTTAGCTTTGGTAGAAGCCAAATTAGTCTTTCCACTGTAGCTTTGATGAGCTACAGTGCCTTTCCTTGGTGAACATTGTTTACTTAGACTTGCAAAGGGCTTTTATCAAGATCCTTCACTGAAGACACCTGAGCAAACCTAACAGTCATGGGATGAAAGGTGAGGGCCTCTTATGGATTGGTAACTAGTCAAAGAATAGGGAAAAAACAGCAGGAATAAATGGTCAGTTTTTACAATGGAGGGATGGAAACAGAGAGATGCCCAAAGTTCTGGACTGGGGCTAGTGCTTGTTAAGTTTCTCATAAACTATGTGGAGCTGGGCAGGGGAATGAGGCGGCCAAAGGTGGTGGTGAACCCAAGTCATTAAAACAAAAAGGGAGTGCAAAGCACCCTGAAGAGATACATCTAAATGAGGAGAATGGGAATTAAAATGGCAAATGTAGTTCAAGAAAAGCAAGTGTAAAGTGATGTGGACTAGCACAAAAACCCCTAACTGTACCTAGTATATACTGATGGAATATGAACTAGTGGTGACTGATGAAGAAGAAAACTTGGGGCTGTGATGGACAGCTTGACTAGCAGCAGCAGCAGCAGTGTGCAGTTGCTCTGAAAAAGGTGAACTTCATGCTGGGCATAATTAGAAGTGATATCAAAACCAAAGCTGTAGGCATCTGGAGAGGGATGCTGTATTCAGGTGTTTCTATGTACATGCTTGAAGCTTTGAAGTCAGAACAGGAGACCTGGAGGGCCTGATTTTAGAGGAGAAGCTAGATGCAGTGGGCTTTGCAGACAGCTGGAATGGAGAGAACCAATGGGAAACGGTCATCTCTGGATATAAATTGTACAGGAATAACAGGAAAGGGTTACTGCAGAAGGTGTTGCTTTGGACATCAAAAAGAGCATAGAGTCCAGCATAATTTATAATCTAAAAAGCACAGATTTCTCAACAGATGCACTATGGGTGACAACAGCTGGTTTCAAAACTAATTTAGACATAGCAATGTGCTGTCATCCTCCGTCCAGACCAGAATGCTCAGGGTGATCTTGAGATGAAGGATGAAATCAGGAAGACCTCCAACAAAGGCAGTGCTGTAACAATGGGTGACCTCAACTGCCCACACATTGACTGGACAAATGTTACATTCCAGTTATGACAAAGAGGTTATATTTCTCAGATGGATGGTACCTGGATGGTTTTGTATTGTTTTAATAATTAATGTTTTTATAGTAGTTATATATTTATTGTATTTTTGTAGATCTTGTAAGCCGTCCTGAGCACTTGAAGTGATAGGACGGGGTATAAATGTATGTAATAAATAAAAAATAAATAAATAGAACAGTTGGTCATTAAACCAACCTGAATTTAATCCTAAGTGGGGTTTCCCAGGACATAGCATGGAATGTAGATGTTGTTGAATGGATAGTAAACAGTGACCACAGTGCTGTCAGATTTAATATTTAGTTAGCTGGAAGATTGCTGAAGAAGTCCAACACATTTGGTTTGACTTCAAAGGCATGGTAAGGGCAATGAAGGTGGTGAGGGTGGCAAAAAGGCAGTTTTTTCCCACCAACATTACATCTTCTCAGTTTTGTCCAGTGGAGCTGTTCCAAATTGTTCATGGCCTATTATATTCTGGGGTGGAGAAGAAAATTGTGGATCCCTCAGCAGCTCTTTATGATGAGTTTGCATAGCACTTTGAAGATAAAGTCACCTGAAAAAGGACATTACTGAATTGGGATAAATACAAAGAAGGGCAGCTAAAATGATGGAGTTGGAGCAACGGCCCTATAAGGAATGGTTGCAACTGGGATTGTTTAGCTTACAAAAAGGGTGAGTGGGGGAAGACATAACAGGGGTGTTTAAAATTATGCACGGTGTGGAGAAAGTGGAGGAGGAGACATTCTTCTCCCTTTCTATTAATACTAAATCACCCAGGTAGGATCTTCAGGTAAGATGAAAGGAAGGACTTCTTCACGCAGTGCAAAGTTCAACTATGGAATCAGGAAGCAGTGATGGCCACCAAGCTGGATGGCTTTAGAAGCTGGACCAATTCGCAGAGAAGGCAATCCAGTAAGCCTTGCTGGCTGTGCATCGCCTCCATTATCAGAGGCAGTATGCCTGCACTGGCCTGGATGGACTTCTAGTCTGATGCAGCATGGCCTTCTTATGTTCATATGTTCTAACCAGTTTTCCAAGTACCCCTTCTGATTGATTTTGCTGCTCTCCATTTTTGTTTTGTACCAGTGCTTTGCATCTGCTTTAATTGGGCTTAAACTCTTTGTACATAGTTTTAAATTATTTTTTAAAAAGAAATGAGACACAGTGATGTTTTAAAAATCAGATCAATGCAGAGGGCCGCTTGTGATCTAATGCATAGCAGAAGCAGGAATGATTCTCTCAACTTGTGTGTCTCATCTGAAGTTCAAAGATTCACCAGTCTTAGCCTGTTGCCACATCTGAAGCCATCATCTGCTAGGAAAAGCAGCTTAGCCAAAGATCATTCAAAATGTGGTTGGTCCTAAATCAGCATTCTCAGGCACACACCCAAATAGCTTTGTAACAATGAGATCATGTCAGAATTCTCCCAAGAAGATCCTTCCTTGCACTAGAATTCTCCTAAGAAGATCCATGCACTATTATGTAAGTCATTTGTGAGCTTGAGGCATCTCACATAACAAGAAAGGAAATGCTCTAAAACTCACATTAAAACACAATGATCTGGGTTTGTGCATAATAGCACCCGTCTGTTGCTGGGGCTGCACAGGAGAGAGCAGCCTTCTGCTCATTCTACACTTCTTGGCACCCATTTTAAGCAATGCATGGCTTCTTGCTGCATAAAACTCTGGGTTGTTTGTGTAGCAAGTATTTTACTTCCAGCGTTCATGACTATTGGCCATGCTAGCCAGGGCTTCTGGGAGCAAAAGTTCAAAATATCTGGGGATCTGCCTTCTGTGCATTCCTGCATTACAGAAATCAGGGAGCAAAAAAGAGAAGCGCATGTCTGCAGCGGAGTCACAATCCGATGTTTTCAGTTTGATGGGAGAGAGGTAAATTTCTATAAGCAAGTAACCTAACTTATCATTTGAAATTGTTCCTTCTTGGTTTAAAACAGGAGGTTGAAGTTGTATAGTGTTGTGTAAATAACAAGATGGAGTCTGCACAGATTGGTCTCATGAACACAAGGATTCCCTGACTTCTCTCCCTTTTCACACACAGTCTTACTTATGCCTTGAGCAGTCACCCATTTGATCACTTCAATCTGTATGAAGATACAGTGAAATTATTAAGGGCCAGTGTAGTGTGGTGGGTAGAGAATTTGACTGGGACTTCAAAGATCCAGGTTCTAGTCCCGGCTTAACCATGAAGCTCACTGGCTGACTGTGGGCTAAGCACTGTGCCTCAGCCTTACCTGTGTCACAGTGTTCTTGTGAAGAGAAAAGAGAGAGGAGGTAGACCATGTCAGTTTTCTTGAGTTACTTGCAAGAGGAAGAAATGCAATAATTACGAGTATAATTGTTGATTTAATCCAGCCAGCATATCTATTTTTTCAAGCTTTTGACTGAAAATGTATATACCAGAACAGCACTATATATTTTTCCTAAGTTTTAAAATTGTGCATTGATTTAATTGGTGCAGTCTTACTCATATATAGAAGATTGTTTAGTCTAGCAGAATGTTTGCCTACTCAGAAGTAAGCCCAAGTGAATATAAGTTACTGAGGCACTCCCCTAGTGCATAGGTTTGTATTCCTTTTCTTTCTTTTTAAGCCTAGTAGTTTTATTAAACATTAAAAGGAAATATTAGGAATAAGACAGTCATTGATTCTGTGCTGATTGTTGAACTGTCAAGTATGTGTCACCAAAGTCCCCAAGGTAAAGAAAAGCATCTAACTAACCTAATTTCAAGAGAGGAATTCTATTGGTTGTTCCTGGCAGAAGGGAAAACTGGGGACACACGCTTGCACATGGAGAAGTGCTTTTCAAGGACCTCTCTGGACCCCAGCCACAGGCACCTTTAAACCACCAAGCAAAATATCAGGGGCATGATAAACTGATATACCTTTTATTAAGAAAACAGAAAGGAAGGTGTGGAAGATAATGGCAAGCCAGCTAAAGTACTAATATCTTAGGAATGCCAGGTCACTAACTGGGAATGCTCTTGTAAAGAATAAACAGGATACAACTCTTAGTTAAGTATTAACTCCACAGTTAAGCAGGATTCAGGGCTCCAGGCCAGAGCAAAGCTTGTTTATATCTTAATTCCAAGAATGTGGCATAAATGCATATACTCACTGACATTTCAGCCAAGTCAAAGAGCAAAATATACATAAAACTTGCTCAAAACCATGTGTGTTTTAAAGACAACAAAATGCATCTGGGAATTACTTGTGACAGAACTAGTTCTCGGAGTTAGATTAGACACAACAGAGATCCATGATCGGAGTCTATATATCTATATTTTGGTCAAAAAGACAGCATAAAATAGAAGTGTTGCCTG